ATACTAGTGCAGCGCTCTACCAATTGAGCTAACAAGCCAACTGGGAGCAGTCCGTTAAGTTGATTCGTAATAAACCCGTGATGATAAATCAGATACAATGAATATATGAATTTCAGTGGTTCGAATCCCGTACAGGCCTGATTTTTTTCAGGTCTGACTTTCACTATTGCATAAATAGCGCTATCTACTGCGAAGGATCGTGCATCATACGTATTTAATACCGTAGTTCGAAATATATGAACTTTATATATTCATTGTATCTATATTCATTTAATTAGCCTCTTTTTCGGATAGGGTGCTGACAAAGTAAACTAGATCAACTATATGTTTAACTTATTCTATTACCAAATCGACTCCAATTTTCCATTCTTAGGAAATTTTTTTCATGACATGGCGAAGATTACATGTTACGTCGTTTTCATCGTCAATAATCTTATTGACGATGGTTCTCAATCAATGAGTGCACAAGACATTCTACGCTTAATGTAAAAAAGATTATCTATCGCTGAAAATTCTACGTGAAATACAGGCAACTCACTAATCAACGACAATATGATAAATGTAATGTAAAAATACCTAAGCTGAGTTCGAGGATAAATTTTAAGGAAAAATAAAACAAATGAATGTTTAACGATTCATAAGGGACGTGCTTGTAAAACTTTCATTTTTTTTTTTGTAAATACATAATAGCCGAGAGTTTAGGCTATATCTCTCGAATGAATGTTCGAAATTGCATCTTCAAATAGACTAATTTCGTTGTCTTTTTTTGTTGTTTCTATAACTTTTTGTTAACACGACCAGAGTGTTCAGGTTACCACGTCCTGAGCGAAAGTGACCGCAACAAAGGCTACAAAGGAGTTGTAAAATGTGACCGGCCGTTGCCCGCTGGAAAACGCTGGTATAGGTTTCAAGGAGAGGCAGGCTCACAGATGCCAACACAGTGTGTGCCTAGATATCAGTGTGGTACCCATGCTCCGGGCTGGCTGAGTGGCGCCCATCCCACAGTGGGCGAGGGAGCCGTTCAGCGCAAAGTGTGTTTCCATTGGTTGTCAAACTGCTGTAATTGGTCCAGTAACATTAGAGTGCGTAACTGTGGCGGTTTCTTTGTGTACGAGTTGGTTGCACCACCCGGATGCAGCATGCGATACTGTGGAGAGAATGTTCAAGGTATGAGAGTTTAAGCCTCCTTTTTTACTACACTTTTCCTTGTAAGTAAAATAGCAATACGAAAACTTTGAAAAAATCACACTATGTTTTCTTAAGGTTATGGCTCTTTTTGTTTTTCCTCCAGGAGGCACGCCACCACCTCCAAGTTCTTCGCCACCTCCAACTGTTTCTGGTGAGTCAGCCATTTAGTAGATGATTCTTTCAATTTTTCTTACCTGGTACCTGTAAAGGTATTGGTGAGGATATCGAAAACTTGGTCACAGCCTTTAAAAGGAATTGTTCGAGAGGGATGCCTGAAACATGAAAATTATTGAGAATTTGACGAGAATATTGGCAAGACTGTACACAATCGATTATGGAGTTTTATTATCCAACTACACCTAGACGAGTACAAATAATGCCATAGACGAGTACAAATATCACGCGGTATTTGTACTCGTCTATTGTAGTACCGGTTAAACAGGTTTTCTCGCATCGCGCAAGCGAAGAATTGGATTGTAGTTACGAAAAAAAAAAGGTGGCGGACAATTTGAATTATATTTCCGACGACGAATGAGTCAGAATGGCTGGCAAATATAGGTCCAAGTTCATTAGATGAATCGAACGAAGGAAAACAGCTTGACGACCAGAAAATTTCTTCATTTAAGGAAGAAAATAGAAACAGCGACACAACAATTCCGTTCCGCATCGCATCGCATACTTCTGTCACGCACTCCCCGTAAATAAATATCCGCGAAATTCGCCCGCACTGAAATAACAGTTTGGCGTGTTGGATAATAAATAACTTATTAGACGTTTTCTTGTGTAGTATCGCTGAGTATTTTTACTCGTTATTAGTATTTTGACTTGCCCTACGGGCTCGCCAAAATACGCCACAACTCGTAAAAATACTCAGCGATACAACACAAAAAAACCTCTAATAAGATATATGTATTCCGTGTGTAAAAGAACTCTTGATAGAAACTGCCGGTATGCTATTCGCAATTTGGTCTCCTGGTTATGTACGCTTTGATTTTCAAGTACTCCACCATGTTACCTTAAGAACATCTTGAGAATGTTGTCAGACTCAAAAAGCAAAAAGATAGACACTTAGCTTCTATATACCAGATGTGCTTAGATCAAGAAAAAGTGTATAGGTACAAAACATACGTATTAGACAACGTGATACGAGATATGAACTAATCACAATACCTTCCGCTCCAGTTTGTTCCAACTACAAAGTCTTGAACGAAAGCGACCGTAACACAGCTTACAAAGGGGTTACCAAATGTGACAGCTCAATTGGAAAAGGCTGGTACAGATTCATGGGAGATGCAGGCACACAGATGCCAACTAAGTGCGTTCCTAAATATCAGTGTGGTACCCATGCACCGGGCTGGCTGAGTGGCGCACATCCCACGGTGGGGGAGGGAACCGTTCAACGCAAAGTGTGTTTCCATTGGTCATCGGGCTGCTGTCAGTGGTCCAGTAATATCCAGGTTCGTAATTGCGGGGGTTTCTTTCTGTACGAGTTGAATCGGCCACCAGCCTGCAGTTTGCGATTTTGTGGAGAGAAACCTCAAGGTAGGAAATTCTTTGGAACACGAATTCTTGTTCTTGCACGCAGACAGCTCTTTGTAATTTATTATTTTGAAGCCCTCACTTTTCGGGTAAATGTCGAAAAACTTCATAAACACGTAAAAACTATACACCAAGTATTACGAGGCAAAGAAACATTTAATTTAGAGACTCAAAAATAAGAAAAATAATTGAGAAAAAGTACCAGAATATGAAATGACCTTGGGTAGGTCCCGAAAGTTAAGGAAAAGGGGACCAAAGGTTAGTTTTGAGAGCACAAACGTACTATATCTCAGCACTACAATAAAATCCTCTCTTCTGATCCAGCGGAAAAGATCAAGAATAAAGTTTCCTGACGGTTTCTTTTTAATAAATTATAAATCAAAACTGCAATCGAAAAGTTTTCGAGTCAGTGCTTGGAAATTGGATAATGCGTTGTGCTTGTTGTAAAAAGGACTAATGGTTTCATTTTCAAGTCAAGTGATACTTAAGATGTTTTTTCATGAATATGATTCATTGCTTGCAAAATTAGCTTATTTCCTCTGGTGTCATCACCATGTATTTTGTTCCTCCAATTTTTCCATAGTTTTGAGAAATTTTCAACGAGACTTTGAGCCATCAAATTCTATTTTTTATCATATTCGTTATTAAAAGATCGGACTCACGCTTCACGTTTGGCCGGGTTTGTAAATCACACGTAGTATATTACAGACTGAAATGGACTCCACTCCATCCTATTAGCTTTATCAATGTAACTGACTAACAGTTTGAGTAAGACTCGTGTTGCTTATGGTATTTTCAGGTTGTGGTTCGTCAACGCCTCCACCTCCTCCATTGCCGACAACGCCGGTTAACGCACCAGGTAAATCAAAGAACGCAAACAATTGTAAATTTGATAAAAAAAAAAAAAAACTAACAGCTGTGAATACTATCAATTACTCGTACTAGAATGTTCCAACTACAAAGTCCTGAATGAAAACGAACGTGCTAAAGGATATCGAGGTGGAATCGTCAAGTGTGACCGCACTGATCGCACTGGTTTTGTGAAGGCCTGGTACAGATTTGAAGGAGGTGCCGGTGACCAAATGCCTGATACCTGTGTACCAGTTAATCGTTGTGGTACGCATGCTCCAGGCTGGCTTAGTGACGGTCACCCCGCAGTGGCTGAAGGGGCTGCCTCTCGCAAAGTGTGTTTTCATTGGAGCGGAAACTGCTGTAGATGGAATATGAACGTTCGCGTCCGTAATTGCGGAAAATTCTACGTCTACGAGTTGCCACCGACACAATATTGTTCTTTGCGGTACTGTGGGAACAAGGATCAAGGTAGATAATAAATCTTTGTTTTACTTTCTTTGTTTCTAAAATTTCCAATGATTCCCTTGTAAGAGTCAGGTATGAAATCTTAGCGAACAGAGATCCTCAAGCGGGAATTCAGCTATTCATACTGTCGCCGATGATAATTTTTTGTCTTTAAAATTGGATGGCATTTGTGGTCTCTTAAGAATAACTTCTTACTAACCGAGCGCGAGGGCCGTACTGAGAAATTTTGGCCAAAGTCGCGACAGTACGGACCGAGAGAAGCGAGGTTTGTCGAAAAAGGACCTCGGGCCGGCATTCCCCAGCACGGCTCGATCAAGCGAGGATGGTAAGTAGTTTATAGTATGGCACTCGGACATACAGATCATAATGTATTTGCCCCTTTTCGCGAACGAAAATACGCTGCTAATGACCATTTCGTGAAAAAGGTCCGATTAGGAAAATGTCGACCAAGTAAGAACCAATCAGAAAGCTTGATTTTATCTTAAGTCTATCCTACCATATGATAATTCTAATTAAATCGGCTTTATTAACTTAACACTTTCAAATATCCGATTTCACGTATAACAATGACAAGAATATCATTGGTGTAACTGTGCATTTTGACTTTGTTTTTTTGCGTTTCGTTTTTCAGGGACACCACCACCTCCAGGTCAGTATGTTGCATCAGTCTAAATTTTTATCTTTTCAAGCGGAGTCGATACCACTTTGGTGTTTTGTTCCGGTATAGCATCAGGTAGCTATTTAGATTCCGACTAGCTACCTAATTAATACAGCAAAAAGTCGGTGGAATTTCGAAGCTAGTAAATACACCTATTCCGTAAAATTGATAATACGGACGGAAAACACGAGACAGAATGTTGTCTATAACTTCGTCCTTCAAGTCTGAGCAGGCGAGCAAGCTCTTTAATGTTCTATCATGAAGATATTCGTGGGGTCCGTCCTTATTTTTTAAGGTGGGACCCTGTCTGCACATCATCACCCTCCTTGTATATCATCACCCTCTTTGTATATCATCACCCTCCTTGTATATCATCACCCTTGTATATCATCACCCTCCTTGTATATCATCACCCTCCTTGTATATCATCACCCTCCTTGTATATCATCTCCCTCCTTGTATATCATCACCCTTCTTGTATATCATCACCCTCCTTGTATATCATCACCCGCCTTGTATATCATCACTCTCTCTGTGCACCTTATTATTGGACTGAAAAACATTTTAATCTAGAACATCTGAAGAATATATCTCAGATTGAGGTTTGGTAATAGATTATTTTATTCTGCCTCTTTTTTACAACGAGTAAGACGAATTTTGCAATGGTGGGCAATAAGAGTGTCAAAATGCTGAGAGTAGCGATTGGTGAAAAAGTGGAGAGCAAAGCATACAGTAGAAACGTATGGCTACTCTTCATTTTACCACGTAGTCGTAACAAATCAGTGTAACTATTCATTTTGATTTTTAAATTTTCGTTTTCCTTTTCAGTAACACCACCACCCCCCACTGGTTCCCCACCCATACCAGGTCAGTATATCGCAGAAGTATAAATTTGTTCTTTTCGAATAAGGTCAAAGTTGATCTTAGATTTTGTTCCAGAACTCTTCTGATTAGGCGTAAATTACTTCCAAACTGCAACATGACTAGTGAAGCAAAAAGTCGACGACACGTCGAAGCTGATAAAGCGCTTATTATGTAAAATTGAAATGATATTACGGACAAACAACATGGGAAAAAATGCTGTCAATAATTTCATTCCTGAATAATAATAATAATAATAATAATAATTTCATTCTTGTATTGCGTGCTTTCCATGAAATGATGAATAATAGTTATTAAAAATATACTATGATAAAATTAAAGCATACAACATATGTTAAGACACTAGCAACTATCATGATAAAATTTTAATAAAAGTTAATAAAAAGCTTCCTTAAAGAGGTGCGTTTTCAGGTGGCACTTAAAAATCCCTAGATATGTAATAGAACGAATCTCACGCGGTAATGCACTCCAAAGAAGACTTACCAGCTCTCTTCTATTGTGTAATAAAGGTGCATGCGGAGTCCGTCCTCACTCCAGAATTGTAGGTGGTGTCAACGCCAAGCACGGTGATTGGCCATGGCAGGTTCAGCTGCGTACCACTGGTGGTTTCCCATACTGTGGTGGATCACTTGTCGGTCCTGAATGGATTGTTACAGCCACTCATTGCGTCCAAGGAAAATCACCCAGCTCCATTGTCATAAGGTACAGTCAAGCCTATAACACAATGTGAACTTTTGATATGTAACACGACTGAACTTCAGAATCATAAGAAGGCTTTTGACAAGGTTGCTTAAAGGTACTGATCGAATAGTTTTGTTTTACTGCTCAATATTTTCTCGGTGGCCACCGGTTGATCAACATATGGGTGAAGGAAAGTCAGCATACTGAGCTTTCCAAAAATGATAATACAAAAAGAGAAGAAAGAGCATTTAGAAAACAAAAGTGACAGGGGCAATAAAAAGCAAATCATGATAGAATAGTCATGTACATCATCCTGTGCTATTCTCTGAGCGGAGCATGATAATCAACGGGGATAAGATAGAATTTAGCAGAGTGTATATATTAGTTTCGTTACGCTAGATTTCGATTTAGAAGTTTCGTTCTCAGAGTTGAAGTTGTACTTAATGAGTAGGATGAATTTTTTTAACCTTGGTCTTTTCCTTCCTAGACTTGGCGCACACCGACGTGTCATTAATGTTGGAAGTGAGCAGGATATTCGAGTTACCAGAGTAATTACACATCCGTCATATCACAAACCGTACAGATACAGCAACGATATCGCTTTACTGAAACTGGAAAGACCAGCTCAGCTGAACAGGTATTACAAGTATTACTAATGAGAATTGGAGCAAGGAACCACAAACTAATGATGAAAATGATAACTGCACACACTTTCTCTTCAAAGGGAATCAGTTTTGTTTAGAACAGAACATTTTAAGCTTCAAACAAAAAAATCATGTCTACAAATACAATTGTTTAGGCTTTAAGCAGTTTTCTATAAATAGAATCCAGACATCGCAGATTTGTGACACAGCTACTGATTTTAGTTATTTTGAGTTTATTTATTCCATCTAACATTACAAACAAACATCTCACACATTCAAATATTCTTACCCAAACACCAAAGTGTTTTGAATAAGAGCAGGTGGTATAGAGTTCTATCGTTTGGCCGGTTTTTAACTTGACGGATATGTTTCCGATAAATGACTATTCAAAAGTTGACGTTTTTTGTAAGTGAACCACCGGCCTCATATAATTTTGATACCCTGATACTGGTCTTTTTTACCTTTAGGTATGTAAACCTGGTTTGTCTTCCCCAATCCGTTCCTGAACCAACTGACGGTACCAGATGCTGGATCACGGGCTGGGGCCGACTTGCTTCTGGGGGTGCTACGCCTGACTATCTTCAGCAAGTTCAGGTTCCAGTGGTCAGTCGTGCTCGCTGTGATAGAGCCTACCCAGGGAAGATCCATGATTCCATGATCTGCGCAGGCCTGGACCAAGGAGGAATAGACTCCTGTCAGGGGGATAGTGGTGGGCCGATGGTGTGTGAGACCGGAGGGAAGTTCTTTCTTCAAGGTGCCACCAGCTGGGGTTATGGATGTGCCAGCCCTGGAAAGTTTGGCGTCTACGCCAAAGTGAAGTACGAGTTGAACTGGCTTAATTCTAATATGTCCTAAAACTAGTACAAAAGACAACGGCTTCATGAGGGATATTTAAAGCATTAGTAATAGGGGTTAATTGTGGGGAACATTACACACACTGGAAATATCATAGATATCGTTGAATGATGGATCAATAAAAGCAATTGAGAGAAATACTGAGTATTTATTGACCGAAATACTTAACAAGTATTCCAAAAGTGCGCGTTGGATATGAAATGATAGGTAGCCAACCAGGCCCGTAGGGCCGAGATGGCTATCATCATCTCATATCCAACAAACGCGAGCGAAATAATTGTTAAATTAAGCACCCTCCTCTTCAAAATGTGGATAAACTCCGGGGCCCATCTTTATTTTGTAAGAACAAATGGAAAGTTACAATGCACAAAAACACTTTTGGTTTAATTCGTCTTCATGCGCCCCCATAGTATAATGGCTCATACACCATGAGGGCTAAGCCAATGAAAACTCTTGAATTGCACTCTCCAATGATCCAGTTTTTTAAAAAAGATAATATTCCTTTTGAGACCTTAGGTTAAAAAGCATGCTCGTAAAGAAAATTCACTAAGAAATCAAATCACCCATATCGTGATTTTTTCGCTTATAAGGTTCGCGGTAAATTGGCTGTGCACTTAAATCTCAGCGGTTAAAAAATTCAGGTCTCGTCAATCAGCACAAAGTGAGAGAACCAAGATGTCGGAGTCAGTAATTGCCGCTCCAATCAAAGAGCAGCTCAAGGTGTAGTGAGCCCAACCAGAGGTCATAACTCTTGCAGTATGGAGTCCTGCTTCAGGTAAACAGTTGTCTACGATTTCTATTTGCATAAACGGCCACAGAATCGAAGAGTTCCAGCGAATTTTGACCTTCCTTGAAGGCCATTTAAAACAAGGTTTAAACCTGGTTAGCTTATGTAGAATTTATCCTTGAGAAAATCCGATTTCCAACGCTTTTTGTTGTTAGGCATTTAATTTTACAACAAAAGCTAGTGAGTAATGCTTAAACAGAGTTTTATTCGAAAATCGTCGGGAGCAGCTACTCATCTAACTACATTTAGCTGCTAGAACACTCCTAAATCCTCCAGCATTCGGCAAAAATCCAAGATTGATGGCAGAGACGAGAACACTTTGCCGATTATAGCTTAAAAGACAATTGCAAAAACTCGTAATCTAGCAAATCAGATTCGTCAGGGCTTTCTTTATTTTTGCTTTTCACTTATTTTTTCTTCGTTCTTTTTTTTTTCCCCTAAAACCTTTCGCACACAAAGAAACCTTATCAAGACTGTCGCTGTAAAAATTAACCAAAGATTATTTTCTTTCGGCAAATTTTGCTCCCAGAATTTGACTGGTATCATGTTTTTTTTCGCATAGAAATTAAGTGCTCAATATTAAAAGCGCTGTAAATAGCTGATGACCCATTAAGAGTAAACAACAGAATTTACGGATTGGCCAATTGATATCTGATTGGATTATTTATCTGAAGCCTAAAATCGCTTCTTGGGAAATTTCGTAGGACGCCATTTATAGATTGTTTATCGCAAGCAACTATAATGCCATGCATAATTAATAACTTTCGTCTTAAAATTATGCAAAGCATCTCATGGCAACATTTTTTTCGTTTCTGTAACATGGTTTGAAGATATTCCGTCTTCTGAATTGCTTTCTTTGGGTCTTTACCATAGTGACTTCAAGGATACTCATTCTCTAAAGTAACGAGTGTAAAGAGTTCTCTAAAAAAAGGTAAGATGTACTTCTTGTTGAATGGGGACATGGGAAATTCGATACACGCTTTCAGGTGGCAAATTTCTTTACATGATAACTTTTATTAGCGATTCTATTCGATTGTGCAGCTAAAAATTTGAGGGGAATTTTTGCATTACTTATTTTTGATATTCTGTTGCAGGCTTTTCATTTAAAAATATTCAGAACAAACATTTTTGAATGGTTTCATAACCAAAACGAAATTAGTATAAAACGATATCATGAAGAAATTTCTTTTCATCTTAAATACAATTCCAGTCTAACGAGAATTTACCTTGAATCGACACTTTGCAAAGTAGCTTATGTCATTTTCTCATGGCGTGAACCACTGACCAAATAATGGCTTGCAGACTCAAAATTATTTCGACTTGAATTGATATTGATGCCACCACCGCTGGCAGCTCGCCTTGGCATAGTGAATTGGATAGGGTTTTGTATGTAAGAAGGTGCAACAAACCATGATGGTTTGACATTGCAATTGTTTCCGCATAGTACAGTATATGAGTTTATTCATTATCTAGCTGGCAGCGCCCTTGGGCGATATGAAGCGAATCCTTTATCTTGATTGGCTACCCGGCCCATCTTGCCCGCTTGGGATTGCCCGCTTTGATTCCGCGCAAGAAAAACATGGTACGAAGCGGACTTTAAAGGTTCGTAACTTTTGCACAATGTCGGCGATGAAGTCACAAAAAGCGGCAGAAAATAGACAAAAAGAAGAAAGAAAGCATAAACAACCTTCTTGGGTTTGTTGTGCGACAAAGACAGTTGGCTCCCTTTCTCGGTTCTCGAAATAAACAAATCTTTCTTGATTCGTATTAAAGCGAAATATTTTTGCTGCATAGTATATCTTTTATTAGCCAAGCTTGTTCGGTCAAGATGGCTGGATACTGACCTCGTTCTTTTTTGTGTTTTTATGGACCGAGACGTAGTCGAGGTCCATAAAGACGCAAAACACAAACTTTAACCAATATCCAACCATCTTGAGCTCATGCTTGGTCAATAACCCATATATACATCAGTATGCAAATATTTCCAACTAATGTTTGAGCATTTAGCTACTCGAAAGAGCATGTCTTTGCTATCATTGCGGGACACTTTCCAATTTTATTTGCTATAATTTTAGTATTGATGGCTTCTTTTTATTCCCCTTTTGTCGGTGCCTGCACGCGTAATTAATTCAACGTTGTCAAATCAAAGCGCTTTTTTGTTACAAAACATTAGCTATAGTAACACCTCGTACATGGGGTGAGATCGTGTCCAAAACGTGACCAACTTAAATTGGGAGTAATTGAGATAATTATTGCGCAAGCAAAGGAAGATTTTGCCCTGCAACGTATCGTAGTCAAAATCATCTTTGAGCTATACTGTACATATTTTTTTAGATGTGTTAAACAGTTGGTTTGTTATGTTATTTTTTCCTTTCTGATGCCCATCGTGTTTGCCTTCAAGTTAATGGCTTCCCTTAGCCCCTTTTTTCAATGCGTGTACGCGTAATTAATTTGACACAGCCAAATCAAAAGAGTTTTTTATTACAAGTCCTCAATAGTATCGGTGAGATCATGTCCAAACGTGATCAACTTAAATTGGGAGTGATAGAGATAATTTTTGCGTAAGCGAAGGAAATTTTGCCCTGCACCATGTTGTCGTGTTTCAGTCTAGATCACCTTGGCGGGTTATACTGAATATATTTTTTAAATGTGTTAAACAGTTGGTTTGTTCTGTTATTTTTTCTTGTCTAATGTCCATCATGTTTGGCTTTAAAATCAAGTTAAAATTTAAGAACACATCAGAAAAGAAGAAATAATTTTTTCCTATCACTGTGTCCGTTCAATAACTCGACAGAATTTTTAGATTGTCTCCCAATCACAATCCAAATGTGTCATTTCGAGTGGGAACAACGGAAAGCGAAAACAAAAATGAACAACGAAAATCGAGCGGTCGCGATGCAGCGATGAAGTACTATTTCAATCACGGTAATCAAATTGTCCGATTGAATATCATCATTATTTTTTTAGCTATTTACAGTGTAAATTGAGATAGGCTTTGAAAGCTACTACAGTAACTTGAAAAGAGGTTAAAGAGAATGAGTATTCTATGAAAATGATGCAAAATTACGGTCGTAGTTTTTATGTATAAGTCAGCGCTCCCAACTTGAATTTAATTACGAAAAAGAAGAATTTCTGAATTCAGACTTCTTTCCTCTGTTTCTTAGGCCAAGATATAGAATTGTAACAAACAACTTATGGTTCAATTCAACAGTTTCTTTAGGCAGATGAATAGCTATGCCAGACTATGTAAATTCTTATGACGTCAACTAAAAGTAACATTAGTAAAATATGGTTCGATTTGAATTTGTTTTATGAAATCTTATTCACTGGTGTTTTTTTGTGAATGAGTGGGTAAATAGCATAGAAACACTTTTTACGCAAGTCTTTGATCAAACGCAAGTTGAGTTTGAAATAGCTAATGTCTATTCAAAGTTGAATGCCAGTTTCGATTTGAATGGATGCAAACCTCTTTGTTAAATAATATCTGACAATAACAGTGAGCTTTCGTTAGTTTGATTCTCTCTGTCACTCAAAGCTGATGTAATAATTTTTCTTTTTTAGTTTTCGGTCAGATCTGATATTTCTATGTCAAATCTAAAATTGTCTGTTATGATTTATTCTGGCATATAGAATCTTACCTTTCGAATTCCCTAAGCGCGCGAGGGAGATTTTTGTAGTACCAAAGCCGTAGATACAAAATTTCACGTTTTTTTAAGAATTCGGACTGAGTCATCATAAAATTGGGTATTCTTCCGCAAAAAAGAAATCGTGTTGCAAATAGAAAAATAAGGGAAACAAAAAGAAGCAAATAACCCCAACCTTAGCAAAAATAACCACCTTTAATGGCCACGAAATTTGGCTCGGCATTGCTCAAATACAATACTACAAAGACATATTAAGCGAAAAATTTACTTGTATTATTCCAATGTTATCCCTTTGATTTTTGATTTCATCTCTCGAGAGTCCTCAGCGAAATGCCATTAATTAACAATATCTCGCAGTAGGCAAGACCTTTGTAATCAAAAAACGTATTTGAACAATCCGACACAATACAAAACCGCAAATTGAAAATGTGAATAAAACTCTCGGTGCAGGGCGAGAAATGCTAATGTACCAACTAAAAGAATGGATAATTTCCGCAATAGGAGAGAGATCAAAATAATTGCGTGGGCACCAAAGCTTAAACTCTCAATTTTTGCCCGCGAATGTGCGTGGAAGAGGTCTTTGCGCGAGAAGTTTTAATTTATGTTATGATTTGCATTGCTACGAGAACACGATCCTAAGTGCAGAGGATAATATTATGCATCTGAAGATTTTGTTGATTAATTTGCATAAGGCTTGGTTTGGTTCACCTGTCGCACTGTCGCTCATCGATTTGTCTAAAGATCAAAGCGAAATTTAATCGCGCTCGGCCAAATTCGACGCATCAACAACATCGTGAAGTTTTGAAAACCGTAGAAATTCCAGATACTGTTCAGGTACTATTTTTCTTCATTTTCAAGATCTATTGGTCGATATTTCTTCTTATTTAAGCGTAAGATCCAATATGTTTATCTCAGTTTGAAAAATACTACGTCGCTTCATGACTGTTTTCGTTGCCTTGAATTTGTAATTTGACAACTTTAAAATTTTTCCTCGTCTTCCCCCATCTATCTCTTGAAAATATCTTCTTAACTTTCGATTCTTTTCTCTGAGCAACCCAAATGGATCTGTATTCAAGGCGTTTTCGAGGGAACTCAAAGACAAGTAAAACCAAAACAATAGCAATGATAGATTCAGCAAAAACAGAAAATTCAGTTATAAGAAGAAAATTAGGCACATTTGAAATACCATAAGTTTTTGTTCAATGTTGTTATTTAAATAGAATTTTTCGTGATTAGATCTTTCAGGTTTGTGTCCAGTTGACAGCCGGAAATGTAAGCGAGAACCGAAGATGGTCTAAACCCGAATAATTTGTTTTCGATGTACACGAAACGAAAACATCATGGATACAAAATGCAGAAGACAAATCTGCTTTAGCAAAAGTTGACTCGGCTACTTCTCTAATGAACGCTGCAACAGTGGTAAGTGAAAGAACACATTTTGCCCTATGTTACAGTAGTTCCCATTCAGGGATTAATGTTTCTGTACACGTCAAGCTTCATTGCGATCTTACTCCCACTTAAACTGCAGTCATATTCATTGCGCTAATGCAAAAGGAAAACTCACTTTTAGACTTAACAAGGCACTTCTTTCAACGATCAAGTTGTGACAGGCTTTTTGTCTGACAGCTAGCTTGTCGTATTGCTACAGCAGGTTGCAGTTTTATAAGGCGAAAAACTACGATTCCTGTGAATTTTCCACGAGTTCATTTAGAAACGACAAAATATGCAGCTTTGAAGCATATTACAAGACTTAACTTTTCTGAAAATCCATTAATACCTTTGTTTGAATTAAACAAGGGCAAAACCAATGCCCCAGATGAATTATTCCTACTGTTTCAGTCCGTAAAAATAGCTCAACTAGCCATATTTATGCGATTTAATTCGAGATTTTTAATTTTTTTTTTTTGATATAGATGTCGATGATATACTTAAACTGGAAAGATGCAGCGTAAAATAAGTTTAAAATTATCTCCTTGGTAATTCGAAACAAGTTGCATACATGCAAAGTGTTTCAAATAAGAAAAAAATTCCCTTCAAGACAAAAGCTAAATGTTCCGTTGACTCAGAAATCAAACTTGTGCGCAATCGAACTTTTTGGACCTCTCTCAGCCCTTTGGGAACTTGCATCTCTGATTCGTCTTTACGCTGGTGGAGATATCCATCATCTCTGCAGCATTTTACTCTGCATAGATTTTCCATATGCGTTGAAATGCCATGATTTACAGTGTTTAATTTTTTTTCGGGATAATTTCTTTATTAAAGTTGCATGTTTAAAAACGGGCCACCGTTCTGAGATGATTAGCCCCTGCGGAGAACAAATATTTTTTAGCAAATTATCAGCGCTTTTCTTTTCTATTTACGCGTGTTTTACCACTTATAGAGAAACGCTGTGACACCTAATGCCTCAGATGTACCGGATTTGATCACGAAATATGAGCGTAATCTCATGTGAGCATTCCCACAGTGATTTTTCCTTTGAATATCTCCTGGTCAGATCTAATGTTTTCTTCGTGTGTCCGTGTACGTCATCTGCTAAGATCTGAGGCTTCAAACGTAAAAAGGTGTTTCTTTCTCACTCTGATAATTAACTGCTCTTTCAAACTCATCTTTAATCTTGAAACCTCGAATTAGCCTACTCAGTTTTAGTGTCATGCAACGAGATTTCAAGTGGAATAGAGATCGATCTTAAGTAAACAAGGAATGGATGAAATCTTTTTTGTCTTTCTGAATAACTGATTGCGCTCACTTTCTAGAAACATATAATCTCCGTTAGATCTTGGGTTTGTCCAGTTTTCAGATAACATGCGCAAAAAATCTCCTTCTGCATTTCAGTCTTTGCTTTTTGCCTTTGCTAGCCTCGAAGACTGCGATCACATATTTCACCATTTTCGCCAACATTTCACCAATTTACATTTGCAGCGATTCTTTGACCTATTCAACATTTTATACGATTGAGAATTCAATTTATTTACAAGAGTTTCTTTATCTCATGTATATGTTCGTGGATTTAAGAAATCCTACCTTGGTATAAGTGTCGAACGTATAGTGCAAGAAACGTTGCAGTCTAGCGGAAGAGAATTGTTTGCCAAATCAACTTTTCAGACATAATACGATCCCTTAATCCCTTAAAAGCAAGTAGAGCACGAGAGAGCTTTTATCCTTGACTTTACCAACATTCTCTTCTACTTGGGAGTTTCTTTTGGAAGAAAACAGCCGATTCAGCAAAGCAAATCTTTTTTGATTCATTTTAAAATAAATTATGATCGTGATGTAGGTTAGTTCATATTCTTGCTTTGTGCTCCTCACATAATGGTGGAAAATGGTGGAATAAAGGTCAAAAAGAAAAAGAAAGTGCAAAGAAAAAGGACAAATATTGGCACGCTGTATGATGCTCGAAAGGAATCCGAGAAGTAATGCATTGCTCTTGCGTCAGTCCGTACACTGATTGGTTGAAAATAGTCATGCTACTATTTTCTATTCGTCAGTAACATTCTAAACTAACCAGTAACCAGTAACATTCTCAGCTAACTAAGATTTCCTTAAGCGAGCTTTCCGGCGCTTAAATCGCTACGTATGTGTACTTTGAGTCTCGTTGAGCCACTGGTTACGGCTGCCTGTGATTTCCAACATTAGTGCCATTGGCTGCCATGATTACGTGGGTTTACGACTGCAAAATTATGAAGCACTGCTATATCATGAGCCAGAAAGAATATGATAAAAAAACACGTACCAAACTGTTACCGTCACTACTCACGGAACTCATAAACAAAAGGAGAAAAAATTTGGATCAAGTTGTGCTCTTCGTACGTCAGTGGGACTTTTTGGTCGCCCAATTATCGAAAAAAAAAGTTATATAATGAACAAAGTCGAAGTTCTCTGAACAGATATTTCCGTCAGCAGATAACTGTTTTTAAATCACACCCAGTCATACACCCTATTTTAACCTAATAAACGGGGTGCTTCAACTATGGAAGCGTTACTAGTTAGCTCAGAGCGTCTATTTTGGTAAGCAAGTCAGGCAAGTTTTCAAGTTTTGAATTTAGAAAGGACTGCTTCTGCTCACTCCCTCCTCCTCCCCCTTTTACCCGGTCCTTGATAATTTTCATTGCCTCCTTTAGATTTTTTGACGAAAGGCAGTCATACATTACCATGCTTATTTCCTAGTGCATTTATTCTCACGCACAATAAGTACTTATTTCAATGGCAGTGTTTTAAACTCACACATCACTCATTGAGACTCTCAGGTTCAACCACTGGGCGTTATATGCATTTGATTTAAAATTCGTTTTGAAATTTTAGTCGTAGGGTCCTCATAATGTTTGTGATTACCTTTATGTGACGAAGTTATTTGGATAAATAATGACTTCAAATACCTGAACATTTGGGAAACTGGGCTGGTTTCACTTCAGAGCATGACGCACTGATGAGGTCCACAAGTTTGTCTCTGTTATAGAATTACTGCAGTAATCCGATCTCGCGTGGCTTGTGGAGTCGATTTCAGCTAACAATTCTTGTTTGATTTCTTACAATCATGCTTATTAAATGACAGTAATTAACGCTTACATAACTTGAATGTATGCTTTTAAACTATGTCTCTTTAGCTCTCTTGTAAGTTAATAAGATGTACAATAATGCTTTGCTTTATTTTTTTCATTAACGTCTTTGAATAAAAACGTAACATGAAATTTTTCTTCTCTAACTCTGGCTCCACTTCAGGCGGGAAGACGGGCAGACGACAAGACCGAGGAGACAGGCGTTTTGGTACTTTAGTTCTTCTTATCTTGTTCTTTTTTGTCATACTATTTTCTCTTTCTTTTCCTTATCTCATTGCATGACATGTGCATGTCTGTCTACATGACGCGTTCTCTTATAAAGCACATTTCCGCTGTCACAACTGAACAGTGGATGTTCAATAAAACCACTTTTAGTCTTCTTGTCTTAGCACAAGCATGCATCTGTTTAAACACAACTTTTAATCTCTTAACGAGATATACGACGAGATTATTTATTTTATCTTAATGCACTCCGCGCATGAGCTATATTTGTATACAGAAACTCTTTGGTAGAATTTTGCTCTAAGATTTCAATATGATGACAAAGTTCGGGCAAGCTTTCCTTTACCTTATTGAGATGAATCAAAAAAAGGCACAAACAAAGTCTAAGCAAGTTGTTTTATAACCATAGGTTGATGCCCAAATTGTAAACACTCTTTTCTTTTAGTCCTTATTTGAAGTTTATTTTGTTCCCTTCAATCAACATGTTGATAGCTTTTATAGTGGAGAGTTTCTGACCAATGTTGTAGAATTTGCGGCACGGGGATAAAAGCTTTGACGCAAAGGTGCAATCAAATCAGCTCGAGTGATCTCAACAATAGTAGTCTTAACGTTTTTCGAAAATGTTCTTGCTTTGAAAGAAGCCCAAAAGGCTGATCAAATTTGGGGGAATTTTTAATGCAACGCGAAGAAAACATGAAAAATTTTCTATTCATTTTTGAAAGATCAAAGCATCGTCTAGTTTGATTTGGTTCGGAAAGTTTTCTTTACGTCAATATTTAATCGCGACATAGATTACTTAATTAAATAATGATTAAAACAAGGAAATATTTCAAGCCTAATAAACGAATCCTAACATTAAGGCAGTTTTGTAGCTGGTTTATTTAGCACCTTTGCGTTACATGGCGAAAATCAGTAGAGAACGACTCTGCTCAAAATAATCTTCAGGGAATTCAGCTGTCCAACATATTTTTCCACCATCTACTCGAGGAAGTAGCTGGTATACGCACTGTTTATCGATAGGCTTCAAGTCTCCATGTTTTCAGTGAAATCTTTTTTAACCCCGCCTTATGAGGGTAAACGGTTAGCTTCTAAATCTTTAAGCAGAACATTAACTTGTGCTAAATGTAATAACTAATAGAAATCCTTACCTTGTCGTAATTATTGGGTTCATCTTCCGTTCGTCGTGTAGACATGTGGTTTGCCGAAGAATTTTCAATTGTATTGTATGTCATAATGTTTTCGTAATTTGTATGCGGTATCGTTTGCATGTCAATCTTCTGAACGGAAGTTTAAGTTTAAGTTTAAGTTTAGTTTAGTTCAAGTTTAATTCATTCGCCACAGGAATGACAGGAGAAAGGAACAGAACTTTCGTTCCATGTGACAGCTAACCCCTAAGTTACTAGCTCATTCACCATTGTACTTTCATTAACTCCTACTACATCATAGTAGATAACTGAAAAGCACGATGCCCAACTGTTCGAGTGAAAACGTGTTCAAGACCTTGGTTACTAGATGTGATTATGTTTCCTTTCAGATCGGTGAGGGTGACAAATTGATCAATGTCGTTTTGCTCAATGGAGAGAGGCTTAATGTTAGAGTACAGGTAAAACTCTTTAATTTCAACCAAAGCTTTCTTTGTTTTCAATTCTATCGGGTTGTGATAAAGAAACTTCTTAAGCATAACAGAAAATAGTACACGAACAACTTACCATCTATCTACTTTTAGATTTTAGTCAACAGAACTCGAAAAGTACGGAGGTTTAACGTGCCGATAAATTTCTTTGAAACAGGCTAACGTTAGCTCAGTGTATATCTTTGGTTCCTATTTTAGAATCTTTCTTTTCTTCTTGGAAGTTCTTTATAGACAGAAACTTTTGGCTAATTTATTTGTCAAGAAATGCTAAAGCTTCCCCTCTAACGTTTTAAGATCTTGGTTTTATATCTGGGAAAAATAAAGGACGTGATAGTACTTGTTAAAATATTAATATTCAAGTAAGTGGTTCCTGTTTGTTCAAACACCTGTCAAAAAATAGAAGACATGTCGAACCATTTTTCTAATTTGAGAAGTTTCTTGACCTTTTGATCGCGATTTATTTACTTTTTTTACGCCCAGTTGATTCACAAAAATATTATCTGTCAAAAATTTGCAATACTGAATGATAAATAAACGACCACGACTGTAACAATATCATCAACCGCTAACTATACAACTTTGATCAACCTCAGGCATCTGCCACGGGACAAGATTTGTATACCATCATTACGGATCATCTTGGGCTCACAGAAACCATTTTCTTTGGGCTGATGATCATAAAAGGTAGTTATAATGGAAGTACATTTTATTTAAGCTATAGAACAAAATTTTTCCGGGCTCTAAAACGTGGGATGTTAGGAGAACACGAGGAAAGCTTTTAAATCACTCACCTTCGGCCCGTGAAATCTAAGCTTTTCAAGTGTCCTGGAACGAACTCACTTTTATCGATCTATTATCATGTGCTCGAATGTTTCATCCATTCTAATCCTTTGCCTCAAGGTATCTAATCTAAGGCTGGTTTCTCTGGTGAAAATCGATTTACTTTGTGTGAACTCTTACATTTACAGATGGAGAGCACGAGTTTTTAGACTTGAACGAGAAACTCTCCAAGTTGGCAAAGTTTGCTCCTCACCTATGGAAAGACGATGTAAGTGTTTACTGAGACAGATGACCTTCCATCGTTCGTTACTTAATGGAAGTCTTCATTATTGCTACATATATTTTCCCTAATGTTCGATTAAAAAACTACTACACAAGGACGGAAAAAGGGTTGAAGTCTCTCTAAAACTGCTTTATCAGGTGGGCGATCAAGTGCCTTTTTTTTGCAGGTTTCTTGCAATTCCTCGCTTGTCTTCACCATCTTCTTCCGTGTCAAGTACTACGTGGAGAATATTTGCCTTCTACAGTAAGTATTACTTTTAAGTCTTACTGCGGCTGTCTCGGCTACGAAATGTTTATGCTCACTTACTTAAACGATCACAATAAGATTTACAAAGTTTAACAGGTAATCACCATTAATAATTGTCTCTCCCTGAAAACTTTCCTAGACAACAGTCTACCAGACACTTATACTACCTGCAGCTACGAAAAGATGTTCTGGAAGGAGGAATTTACGTTCACGAAGAAACTGCTATGCTATTAGCTTCGTACGCTCTGCAAGCAGAAGTTGGAGACTACAACCAGACCCTACATGGTTCGGATTACTTCGTTCCAGAGCATTATCTTCCTCAGAGAGTAAGTTTTCAAGTTAACCAGATGGCCACCTTTTTACTGATACAAAGTCGTCGGAGAGGTACAAATACCAGGACTAAAATATTCGGAAAAAAACTTGCGTGTTCTACGTCTCTTGTTAGATCTACAAACATTCTATTTAACATTTTCTGTTAGTGGGTGTGCACCGTCCTAAACTGGTATCAATATATGTTAAACTGACTGCCAACACCCTCTGTAATGTGGTCCAAACGGTAAACAGAGCTTTTTGGTGTTGCCAATGTTGATGTGACTGTTATTACTATTGTTTGTGTTACCTTGTCTGTCGTTCGTATCTGTTTTAGTGGTGAAAGGAAAATCTGCTTTCAAGCTCAAGTTTCACTAAAGAAGAGAAAACATGTAGCCTGGACCAACAGATATAACAGAAAGGAAGCGAAATTGAATTTCTTTGACTTGCTGTTGAAATAATAGTTTTCTTTTCTTTGCTTGTTTGAAGGCGATCGCCAAACTTACTGCTTCCTACATAAAGAAACATCTTCCAGCGATGCATAAGACTCATACCAGTCTCAGTGACGCTCAGGCCGAGATTGAGTATTTAAAGGTAAGTAGACTAATGAGAGTCTCTTTGCCTTTAATAAGACTATTTAAAAAACGATCAAGAGAAATTGATTGATTAAAAGTGGAAGTTTATGCACTCCGAAAAGTACTTCGCTGCCGTGTTCCTTTGTGGGGGGTTTTTACAGCTGGGACGTACCTTGGAGACCATTGCCGTTTTGTAGAGGTTAAGATAGAAGGTAAGTTATGGAACATCAACTGAAACAAGGTTGCCCCTTTGGGCTTTCAGTAGAGCTGGTACCAGCGTGACAAAAAGCAGCCAGTATGCGGGGTGAAGATTCACACCTTTCACCACTTGGTAAACAAGTCTCCTTCACTGCTAAATAAAGCACCCTGATAATTCTCTGAAACTGTTTTCGCAGGAGGCGCAAAAGTTACAGGAATATGGAATTATATTCAACAAAGTGTCGAAGGTAAGGTCAATTGAATGTGATTTAGTGGAAGTTTTTGTCAAAGTAGAGTCTAAAAGTTGACTTATCGACATGATGAGATTACCTAGGGATCTAAAACAAAATGTGGAAATACTTTCTTTGCAGTTTAAAAAAGACAAGAGGGGCGGGTTTAGCCTAGGGATCAGTGTCCGAGGCCTTATTGTGTACGAGGTAAGTAGTCTCCAGTGATTTTCTTCAAACCTTTTGCTAATTCCTCTTACCTTCTTATCTTTTTTACGAGCTGAAAAGCTAATTTTTTATTACTTCAACTTATAATGAGCGAACTAATTGCAACTTGACAGTCTTGAGGCGCCAGTTGGGCTGACAAAAAAACTCTGATTCTGATTTTAATGATGATTCACCGCATCACAAGCGCAATTAGTCTGGGAAAAATACTGCTCCAATTCTACAATACGATTCTCCGCTTAATGGGCTAATGTTAGCAAAAACGCCATTTTTGTTAATATTCTCAGTGTGCGTTGGTCCCTTCGATCACTATTTACCCCTTTCCCTCACAAAAACCAAAGATCCTTCAAGGGGAGATGCCTCAGTTCTCCTTTCTAAGTCTTCTAAAGGTAAAGATTGACTCTCCTTCCCCAAAAACCAAACAACCACCTATACTTCAAGTTTTTTGATTAACCTCGTGTAATGTGCGGTAATATTTGTTTTCCAGGAAAGAGGAGTTGTAAAGAGTCCGACATTTCGTCATCCGTGGCAAAACATCAAACGGATGGCCTTTCATGTAAGTATTCAGGCTATTTTTGATTCAATTTGTTTCTTTGAACTCTCAAGTATAACAACAATAGGTGGTAGTAGCCTTCTGGCAGCTCTTGTTATCAAGTTAGTTATATTTCTCAAAGGTAATCTCCCGATTTCCCATCTTTGTTGTCTTCATAGCGGCGACGATTTTTCATTGAGGCACACGGTGATCCAGAAACTTCCAAAATGGTATTGTACACATGCAGTTACAAGAAGTAAGTTCCGGATATCAGCAAATTTTTTTTAAAAAGTGTTGGAAAAGATTTTGTAGTGAATGGTTTGAACCCGGGGGTAACATGTGAAGGTGTAGTCTGATCGTCCGGGTGAGTGTAGTCCTGAGAAGGACTGTTGTCGGTGGTAGTGACTGACGTTTCGACAACCTGTGCGGAAGTCATCATCATTGACTCTGATGATGACTTCCGCACAGGTTGTCGAAACGTCAGTCACTACCACTGATAACAGTCCTTCTCAGGACTACACTCACCCGGACGATCAGACTACACCTTCACAAAAAATTTTGTTTTGATATGCTATTTATTGTTACTGGACTATAATCACGCTGGGGTCATTTGATACCCAGGGGATAAGAAAGTCAAGCTTCCCAGTGACAACGAGTTTGGACAAACAAGAACGAAACTTTTCACTCAGACAGCTCAAACTCTTGGCCACGTAATAGACGTTGAAGTCTGTCATAGAAACAATCAGGAATCCGAAATTGGCGAGATCGATTTATTGGTGCTTAAATGATTAAAAAGACTTCGGCAGGGGATTTTTTGCGTTTCTCTTTATTGCTATGGTACTTCTTTTGAATTCAATTTTTTAGTCAAAACATACCAATCATGTTATCCTTAATAATCATTTTCTAGATCAATTTTTGTTATATTTGCGTTGAAATCCGAAACTATACATGAAATACATTGTAACTGAGACCCGAAGACGAGATAACAAGAACTTTGATCTTCCAAGCGAGACTGTAATTTAAGTCACTGCAGAAATAATTGCTGAAAATCTTTTGGGCTTCCGGCATCAAGGATTGGACCCGTGCCTCTTTGGAACCATTCGGGCTCTTTGTACAAAGCCACATGCTGAGAGGGAGGCAAATTAATTTTCGAAGCTCCGTCGAAGACTGAACTTTTCAAGCTTCACTTCGTGTGATACATTTCATTGCACTGATTTCAGTACCTGTGAAGATTAATTCGTCATTTAAGTTGAATCATTGAAGAATCTGACCGACAGGTTGATTCATTACTTTCCATTTTCGAGGCAAAGGAAACTAATTCGCAAATGTGGTAATTCCTTAAACAGGATAACAACGAAGTTAGCGTATCTTAGGTTTCTTCGCTTTCAGTCACAAAAGTTGTGTCTAACACTTTCCCTCGTCGAAATAAATTGCCTAATTGTCGAAGGGTTACTGTGGGAATAAAAGTGATACGACAAATACAAAATTGCTTCCAATCTCAAAGATTTGCCAAGGCAACAGATGACATACTGTCAATTCGGTTGCCCGCATTATTGATCATTGGTTTTACTGCACGTACAAAGCATGATTCTTGCGGGCAGGGAAATTCTCCCCCTCCTGATGTGCTTTATACTCTGGTGAGGTTAATGGCAAAGATAAATAAGTTGTATTCGTTAATGGAGAATAACATGACCAACATATTTGCCAAGGAAAGTAAATTCTTTGTTAGTATATTGTAACTCACAGATATAATTTGCATGAATATGGTGACCTCAGTTTGATGTATTGCAATATTTCACTTGAATTTCATGTCTAATCGGTGTAATTTCTTCGTTTAAAGGTCGCGTTATTTGCTGAAAATGTGCACATCTTTCTATAAATTCCAAATGATGATGGGGATGAAGTTGTCCAGCCTCAAAGAATATCCAAAAGATGGAGGTAATAGAGCAAAATATAAATATTCTAATTTCAGACCACTCAGTATGTTGTCTATATTGTTATAGTATAATTTACAAACATGTTTTCCTAGAGTACCAACAAAGGAGCATTTAGGAAAAGACACGCAATATAAAGTCGTGTGATTTTAAGTCGCAAAGCAGTGTTGAGTTATGAGCAAGCAGAAGAACACCAAAACTTTTTAAAGCCAACGCTGTGGTGATCTTCCTTGCGTCACTGCAGAGCGAAAATATTTTCCCCTCGTAGGTGTGTTTTCATGATGCTACCAGGAGAATAATTATTCTTTACAAATTAGCTGATTTCATCCTCTTCAGACGCGTAAATATGAAATGTTGCTTATGTGACTATAAAGTGTTCGCTCCCCTGAAGCCTTGATTCACACAGGCTGGGTCTATTGGACAAGGTATCGTTCTTCTGTCATGTGTTTGATGCCAAAAGATGACCAACCGTTATCTTTTGGTACGAGCTTCGTTAAAATTTACTGATTAAGGAGGCTGCTGCTATAGTAGCAGCAATTACCGCAGATTAAATCAACCTTTTTTTGTCTGCTTTTGCAGTTGTCAAGATGAATGGAGTAGTAAAGACTGACGAATCCGACTCCCTGGCTGGAGATATGCCAGAATCAGCCGCGGGCAAACCTGAAAACGAGTCAGGGGTCATTCAGCCGCCTGGAATAGGTCCTGCGATACATCTGAACGGGTCAGCGTGCCCAGTACAGGATCAGTCATTGCAGGTTAGCCACTTTATGTCGCTCCTCCTTTGTTCTGTCTCGCCCAACTCAACTATGGCTTCTATAATAAATCTTACGCCCAATCGCATAGTCGGATCGTAACAGAGATCTCAGGTTTGAGATGGATTTGTTTCTCAGAGATTCCAAATGAATTTTCGATCACGCTTGTAAATAGCCAATCGTTTTTCCTCCTGCATTTGGAGATTCTAATCATGTTCATTTGATTAATTGTGAATTAAGAATTTCCTAAGCCAGTCAGCCACAATGAAAACCACTACATCGTAACAATAACAGAAATACCAAAGTGCATTTGAAATTTCGCAAAAAACCTTCTGAAACTGTTTCAAAAGCCTCTATAATCAGTGATACCACCATTATCACTTTACATTGAAATATCGTCTCACGTTAAGTCTCTAAGAAGAAATTGACCCATAAATTTGCACCAGATTGAGCTCTCATCCAAGAAAACTCAACTGACTTGATTTTTCCCGGGTTATTGAAAGCAATGGATATTCAAATTCTTCAAGAGCTTTTAGTGAAAAGAGAAGCGGGCTCAAAGACTCGTTATGTATCATTACTGATCACGACTTTCTCTAATTCAGGTCAGCGTTCATCCTGTTCAGCTTCAGAAGGTGAATGGGAGCCTTGGACTCAATATCATCGTAAGTTTTTCCTGGAAAAAGATAATCTTCAAATATTTGTTGATATTATTCCTTTCTGAATGGCAATTCCAGTGCCAGGTTTCACTTCTATAAGCAATATCCTGCGAAGAACGAACAATTCAAATTCCTCATTGAGTGGAAAAACATTTCTTATGATTTAAAAAAAGTGAAAAAACCGTCGTTTCGGAAAAGACAACAGAGTGTACACAATAACAAAAGACTGATACGGTCTGTAAAAGCGACTTAAGTTCAAAATGAAAGCCGTTCACAGTTAATTGTCTTAGCTCAACATTGTTTGGAATAGTCTCAGTGGTGACGTCATACTCCACAGGGTGGTATCGAGTTGGGTGGTATTTATGTGAAAACCATGGCTGCAGAAGGACCAGCATCCCTCAGCGGAAAAATTAATATTGGTGAGTTTTCTGGATCCACGTTCGCTAAATACGAAATTTACAATTGTCTTGGGATAGTAACTCCTCCTCTAATGTGGTAGAGATTTGAGATCGTCAGAAAACTCTATGAAAATAATAATACTTTACTACCCAAGAGCAGTTGAAATTACATGGATTTACGATTATTTCCCTCGAATGATTCACTGGTTTGAGATAAATTTTAAACGCAGGTCTTAATTTGCTAGACGTTTGACATTTCAGGTCACAAATCATCGCCGAGGATCGAGGCTTTTTGAAAAAGCGTTATGCTTTTAAATTTTAGACAAAGGTTAAGTTCTTTCTTCTCCGAGTATCCAGTCTGTATCTTCCTTCTGTGATTTCTTTAATTGAATTCCTTCTTTTTTAGGGGACAGAATTCTTGAAATTAACGGTCAAAGTCTGGAGGGTTTATCAAGACAAGAGGTAATTTAAGTAAAATGGTTTTAGTCTGCTAAAGCCAGAGTAGAATTTAATATTAGATCATCACTTATCCCTATATCTTTTGTAAGATCCAAAACCAAATAACACTAGACTGAAGGGGGTAAGTTTTTAAAGAAACTTTTCTACTGTGTTGGTAGGGATAACAAGATAATTTTGGTTTTATCAGCTGAGTTAATAATGTAAACTGTTCACCGTAAGGAGTTTCAAAGCTAAACTCTTTACGGCGGCTCTTTATGGTTTTAGTCTGCTAAAGCCAGAGTAGAATTTAATATTAGATCATCACTTATCGCTATATCTTTTGTAAGATCCAAAACCAAATAACACTAGACTGAAGGGGGTAAGTTTTTAAAGAAACTTTTCTACTGTGTTGGTAGGGATAACAAGATAATTTTGGTTTTATCAGCTGAGTTAATAATGTAAACTGTTCACCGTAAGGAGTTTCAAAGCTAAACTCTTTACGGCGGCCAATTTACAATATCAACTCAGTTGATAACACCAAAGTTACCTAAATAACAATAGTGATGCCATATATTTATTTTTCCTTAACTGGTTTTTTTGTTCTCGAAATCTGTTCCGGTTATCCTTACGACGCTAGCACCCTTTCAATTTCTCCTCTTTTCCATTCTAAAATTTCTTTCTTTTTCCCTGCACGCAGGCTGTTAACATTTTAAGAACAGCACCTCACGTTTGTACGATGCTGATAGAGAGCTGTGTAGCGGCTCCCGCGACACCAAATGGCAAGCCAGTAATGCCTGGGTCTGAGTCAGCGTCAGCCTTTTATCACCCACACAGACAACAGCAAATGCAGCCCATGATAGAACGTCAACCCTCGTTGGAATCGCAGTATTCTACCATGCAACAGCAGTTTGTTCCCAGCCAAAGTCACCAGATTGAAGACATAGTTACTGTGAGTACTACTAATGTAAAGGAACCAAACCCAGAAAGACTTTCTTTAGGAAAGCAGAACACTATCGAGGCGATAGCCTGGGCGCAACCTTTTGAAGTAAGCACTTTTGCAAAGGGAGCTGTATCTGCGATCATAAGGGAAAGGGCGAAGACTAAAGTAACGGCTCTTAACGAAAATGGCTCTCCTGAGCATTCACCAGAAAAATGTAAAGGGCATGTAGGTATATTTGATTCCTTAACTGGGGAGGGAACAAAATTACCAGTTAAAAAAACTGAGGAAAATCCTAGAGAGCAGCCTCTTGCTCCATTGGACGATTACCAAACGCTGCTTCAAGCAGAAAGCTTGTCAGTAGAAGAGTCTCAACCTCTCCCAATAATTGAAGACAAGACTCCGCCAACTGAGGAGTCAAGCGTTGTCAGTGGGTTTTTCAAGAAAATCCATTCCTTCTTGTTTTCCCCAACTTCACCGAAACGAAAACGGTCCGAGGAATCAGAATCGTCTTGCTGTGAAAGTGATTTTGATTCAGAGTTTAGTGAAATGACTCAAGGATCTTTCAACCCTGGGGACATTGAAGCAATTCGCGATGAGCTTGAGCAGTTATTAAGCGGTTCACAAAACCAGAGTTTGGAAAATAGTAACGGGTTTTCTTTTAGCGAGGGCCGCAGCTCTCAGCTAGGTAGCCCTTCCTCATTAGCCCAAGAGGAATTAACTGAAAATTCTGAGACAAAAAGCCAACAAGGATATAAAGATGTCTTAAAAGGGGAAGAGGTAGAAGCCCCCACAGGGCTAGAAAAAACCATGACGTATAAGAAACTTCTGGAGAGCAGTGAAGCTGAACAGGGTGATAATGAAGTAATAAACGTCAAAGTTGACGATGATGTGAGTCATAAGCAAAAATTAGAAGGGAACGATGAGGATAGATCTAGCATAAATATTAAAGTTGAGCAAAAAGATATATCTTCCTGCAAGGATGTGGATTGCATTGAACAGGAAACTAACAGAGTCGCAGATGATGAAGAACTAGAAGGAATTTACAAAACAAATAGTATTCTAAAGGTTCAGAAGGAGACAACTGTGTAGAATTCGATCAAACCCTTGTGGTGTAGTAAATTCTGAGGGATGAAACGACTCTAAAATTCTCGCTAGGAAAAAAATTCTTAAACAGATCAAATTGATTTCACTCGTAAATCAAAATTAACAAGTGATTGTTAACTATGGCAATAAACGATAATAACAATTCAATCGAAGTCAGCTCTAGAAATAATGGCTGCAATGTGAAAAACAAGCAAAAAAATAACCGAGCGATATTGACGCTGGTCGTTTAGAATCAGTAAACGTTGTGGTTCTAATTGGATTCGAAAAGAAAGAAGACTGGTATACTAGTGTTAATTAACCATGTTACAAAGTATCTTTATTGTCTCTTATATTTTCGTTAACACAACTGGGCGAGAAGCTGTAATTCATTATTACATAAAAGTATAGTAAGGTTAGCCATAATAATGATAAACCCACAACTTAAAGTAGTTACCTCATTGTTGTAAACATACAATAACCTATTCTATTTAGCTACGTAAAGAAATGGACTAAGTGCTATGGTGTCAGTTCAAGTAATTAATGATAAGGTTGCAATCCTAAGTGAGACAATATTATTTTCGCCCTGTTTTTCCTTTCAAATAATGTGCTAAGAGGTCAATTTGGCCTACTGTATATCACAAGCTGATGTTACAAAATCAGCATGACGATTTTAGGATTATTCAGATGGTTTGTTTCAAACTGCACTTACTAAGGGAATGAAACGAAAGAATTTTTTAGTGAATTGTAGATTAACTGTGGTATCCTTACAAAACTTTAATGATCGATAGAAATAAATTGAGTGAATGAATATCTTCTCTTTTTGTGATAATAATAATTTTTGTTCAGAAGCCCAGAGAAACCTCCAATGCGGCATGAAGACAATATGGGCTAAAGTTTTGAAATGATAAATGAATCCATGATCATGAATACATTTTACATCACAGTCTGATGTAAAAAAACAGCATCATTCAATACTTTTAAGAGTAACTCTTACCTAGCTTTAAAAAATGATAGACATTGACTTTACAATCTTTCTTAGAATCTTAATCAGTGTAATTTCTTCTTCTTAAGATTTTTTCGAAACAATATTGAGTTTCAAATCACTACAAGAAATGCATTCAACTGATGACCTCTGTTAAGCGTCCGAAGTTTGTTAAAAAATCCAAGGTTTTGGACACAGCATTCTCTTGTTCATCTTAAAAATAAAAAAAAGTTGGTCGGTACGAGAGACACTTCAGATGTTGCTACCGTAGAGGAAATTTAACAGAGGTCATCTTAAAAGTGTACCACTGTAAGTGACATCCTTTCGAGAAGGTAGCTTAATAAAATAATCTCAAAAGACTGTTATAAGGATAAGGACAAATTTCTACTGATAATGACGCAGAGTATACCATCCCTTATAGCAATGGTTTAGATTTGTACCATTCAAAGGTCGGTCCTTTTTTTTGTAGAATCGGCTAACTTTGATGTCTCTTTCAGGACTACATTCCTATTGAAATTCCGAAACTCAATGGGAGTTTCGGGCTTAATGTTACGGTAAGATGGTTTTCTTGGAATTAATTGAATATTAGAGCGTCGTAAGACAATTTTTCGACGTTCCTTTCCGTCTTATTTCTTGAAATAGCGTATTTTCAAATGCCTAAGCTCTTTCTTTTTCAAAAGTGTCAATTCCTTCTTTTCTTGGCAATGGTTTGATCATTGCAGAGCAACGATCTCTTTTGAGACAGTCATACTAAGGACTATCATTTCCAGTTAGGCTAAAAGAGCATACGCTTTTCCTATTTTGAACATAGCCTCTCTAGATAAGTTGATTTCAATGGATCATTGATTATGAACTCTTTTCATATTCTTTCTAAATAGTCGGTAACTCTTAAGTAACACCTGATGCACTTCTTATCTCTACTGACGCAATGTAGAGATATTAAGTATTGCCCGTTGTGAGCCGTACGTTCAATCTTAACTCTGAAAGTATCCCTTGAGATTTAACCGTTTCTAGAACTAATCTGAAGGATTATAGAAAAAATAGTAACCTTTAAAACAATCCCGACCGCATATTGCCATTTAGGCTTAAGCTTTCCTATATTTTGGTTGCTTTCCGATTGATACATTTCTGAGTTTTTAGTCCATTTACCTCCTTTGGACAATCCTGAAAGGAAAACATAACAAACGGGGTTGAATGATTGAATATGTGGTCTATAAGAATGCTTATCGCCCGTAAATCTGTCAGTCAATTTGTAGATTAAAAAGCTATTTTTCGTTTATGTCGCAGAATCAGCCGTTTCGTGGCGCTAGTTCCATAAGGGATCCTTTTTCTTCCTGAAGCACTTTCGTTGCATTTTAAATTCATTCTGGCTCTTTCCGGTGTATTAATTCGTGAAGTGAGGCACAGGTGTTTTGACATCGCATCTAAGCTTTAAATAATTCAGATAAATCTGTTTTGAACTTAATAACAACGACGAAAACTTTAAATTACATTTCCTAAATCCACGCCATCACGTAGAACTCGAGTTTCTTTACAACTGCTGCAATTCAGTTGAAGAAAACTGTCCCATGTGATTATCAACGAAAAAAATTAAACACATGCCAAAGCATGAAGAATTTTTTTTGTCCGAGGATGTACAATCGATTTTCCTTTGTAATATTTTAATGGATTCGTGTTTTTATAAGAAAAAGTAATTTGGCCATGCCGGAGTTTCTTAGTTATCAGCGGGAACCCAGTGAGGTCTCTTTATTACAATTCGTTTAAGCGTCATATAAATCATTCATAAGTCGAAACATAATAACAAAAATGTCTTTCGGCTTCGTCCATAGCAATGTTTTCAAAACTATGAAAGACTCAGTTTACTAACAGTGGCGTTTTCCTTTCAAAAACTCACCATACTTTCCTCCTCGATCACGGAATTCTCGTCCGTCTCAACCATGTTTTCTGGTATGTTTTGACTTGTAATTGTCGAAGTAGGTCTAAACTTCGAACTTTTCCCATTTTATTTTTACCAGTGGTGACCCTATAGTAAATGAAGAAGGTTTTTGGATTTCTAATTCTTACGTTTTCTTACTTCTGGCCACAGGGTGGGCCAGAACTCGATGGAATTTATGTGAAGTCCCTATTGCCTGGCGGAGCAGCAGAAGCTTCTGGAAAAATAAGAAACGGTACGTAACTGATCTGTTATGACTTACTCGATCAGCGATCGAGAGAAGAAACTTCTTTTCAAATCACAACATCGGTTTAAGAATAGCACTCTAATTAAAGGTGGAAGTCGAGTACAACTGCTTTCAGTTTGAATAAAAACATTGACAAACCTTGAAGTTTTGTGTCATCTTTGGAAGAGTGGATCGTTGCTATCCGTGGTGTTACGCCGCCAATCCAGGGTGTTTTTTTTTTTACGTTTCTATTTCGCAGGTAAAGCAACGTTTATTACTTAGTTTCAAGCAATGGAAAATAAATTCACCGATGCTTGCTTATCTTGTGTTCTAATGAATTTGATTGGATGGCCTTTGAATGGAAAGGAATTGCGTTATTTATTCAAACATCCTTCACTCTTGGAAGTGACCAATTACATTCGTTCTTTGCTGTAGTTTGCGTCCACTGATTGGATGCGATTATTCTAAGACTAAACGTATCAAGTAATCTGTTGATGTATTCTTAAAAAACTTCCTCAAATATTTTGGGTATTTCACCATTTTGATTTGGTGGGCAGAATTGTTTAAATGTAAAACTATAGAACTTTAGCGTCAAATGTCTGCCTTTATTTGCAAGATCTTACATATAAAATAGTGTTTATCATCCTAAGAGAATTACGTTGTTAGATATCGATTTTGACTGTATTTGACTCCATATGTATAACAATGATTGATTAGCGGCCTAATGGCGAGAAAAATTTGCTTTAACCTTGGATTTCCAAATTTAATTCATGTATCACATATTCTGACGCAATGGATGGTCACAGAAATTGGCCTACAGTGCTATGAAATGGCCAATGATGTAGACAATATTTCTTAAGCGTAGATCATGCTCTTAAAACTTGAATAAGAGAACTTTGAATAAATTTTTCTATCAGTAGTAATAATTTGTGAAATGTGAGTGAACCTATTACGTAAAGAGAATCGTAATGGTGTTTTTCATCTTTCATTCGTAAGGCGACAGAATAGTGGAGATAAATGGAGTAGCAATGGATGGTCTCAATCGCAAACAGGTAATTATTTGAGATTCGATATCGATCTATTTGTAATGTTCATTTACGAAAATGAATTCTTTGGGTAAAGAAACTGACCAGCCAACCATCTGACGCCGTGTGCCAGAAATAACATCAAAATATCTAGTAGTGTTAAAAATAAATTGTTGTGGGAAAAATTCCGCACTCCGTTAAAATATTGAGATAGAATTTGGCTAGAATTCTATCACTCGTACAATAATTATCAATGTCAGACAAAATAGTGCCATAAAGCTCCAAGTCTGAGTCAGCCGTAAAGCAAAACGGCTTGTTCTATTTTAACCATGCTGTCGAGGAACCTTTTTCATTTCTTGCGCTTTCCGTTATTTTATAAAAACGTTTTACGTGTCCCTTCATATTTCACTCAGCAAAACAGTTATAGACGCTTTCCCTTTTTATCGCCATAAACAACTTGGGACGGCCACGAAACCGCAGAAGACAAAATCTTATCATATTGACAGTTTTTCAATTTTCACTTTGATTCGGTTAATTAAAACAGGCTGTAGAGTTGTTAAGGCGGTCTGCAGCCACAGCAACACTGGTTATAGAGCGATACAGACACCCTGGCCCTGAAGGACCTCATTTAGAAGACTTGGAGGATCTCTTAAGAACTTCGGTATGATTGCCATTGCAATTGCTAAAATATTCATGTAAGAGTTTAGGATAATGGTCGAGGAAAAGAAAACTTAGGAAAGTAGAATATATGTAAATTGATTAATATTTATCGAATAGGATTCACTTTGAAAAAAGAAGGATGAAGTCGCATGATAATTTGGATGGATAATTTGATAATCACACTATGGTGTAACATCTCTCTCACACATACTTTTTGTTCTTCTTTTTTCTTTTTTTTAATATCTTCAGCCAAATTGCATCCTAGTGGAGTTACAGAAAATCAATCATTCGTTTGGATTTAGCGTTGTGGTAAGTCAGTGGTTTTGTATATGCTACCTATTAGCTAAGTTTTATTCAGGAGCCTGTTAATTTTGTGATGCTGGGTCAGACCCTCATTTACGATGTTTTAGTTCGATAAGATTGATTGTTGTTGTTATTGCTGTTGCAGCAAACCACTTGACAGAAGCTATAGTTACAAGTTCTTGGCTTTAAAAAGCAAAGGAGAAATAAGCATAATTTGCTGTTTTTACATGTTATAATTTCATTCACTAGATGTAATTTATTAAAACTGAAGCCTCTAAGTTTTCATTCTGAATACAGAGACTGTAGAACAAGATCTAAGGAGATATCTGCGTCTAACAAGTTTTTCTTGTCAAAAGGGTGGACCTGACTTCGGTGGAATTTTTGTGAAAACTATCAATCCAAATGGAGCGGCAGCAATGGATGGTAGAATAGGAATAAATGACAGGATTGTGGCTGTAAACTGTGTGAACTTAACTCGTGCTACGAGACAGGAGGTATGCAGCGAGTGTCATGTTCAGATTAACATTGGAATGAAGACACATTATAGGGCATGTTGTGGGAAAGATTTTCCAGAAATAGAAATTTTTAAAAGCTCTGATGCTAACAGAGCATCGAACAATACTTCAGTCCGTGAAACTCTTAGTATTTGTAATTACTAATTTGCCAAGCAGGCAACATGCACCTGATTAACAGAGAATGAAACGTTTGACCCGGCAGTCCTTTTTTCCAAAGTTGCAAATAAGATGCGAAAAGAGGTGCTGAATAAATTTTCTAAACGATAGAACTTGGAGTTAGTCGTTCTATCTCTCTCTTAGGCGGTTGACGCTTTGCGAAACTCACCAATCATCGCTCAGCTTGTAGTAGAAAAAGTCACTCCTGAAGATATTATGACAAACAGCAGCGGGCCACCCACTCCTCAGGAGTCAAGATACGGTGCAGTACAGTACAGTAATTATCAAGCGAGCACGGACAGCTATAATGGTGAGAAAATCCAAAAATAATCAAACACTTAGGAATAATGGATCATGACCATTTTACAAAGGCTTCTGTTCGTGCGCCAACAGCTCTTTCACCTATCAGATTCTGTTGTTTAAAAATGCAAAACTAACTTACGACTCAGTTTTATCATTTCAAACTGAATTTGCTACGAATAAAGGCTGGTAGTTTCGAAAGAAACTGTTTGGGGCTGCGTCGGTGGGAGTAACGAAATAATTTGGATATATCAACAAAGTTGAAATGGTAAATTGGCCACCGTAACG